TGCGTCATATCTATTGCTGAACGATGATCTCTCTCTTTTTCTCATTCGTATTATCATTACTGGTGTCGAGTCACCATCGCAGCTGCGCGCGGTTCATCAAACTGTGTGCGCAAAGTGCATGCAAGATTTTATGGTAATATCGGAAGATATTGATTATACACGCGCATTAACTTGATGGAGAGAAAGCTGCGGAGTTGCGCGTTTTAAAGAGCGATTGAATTTTGTCCAATGAAAGTTGCATGATTTGTAAGTTTATTAAATATTTCAAGTCAAATTTTTCTTAATTAAACACGAGGATAAACATATTTCTTTTAATATGTTCAGAAATTTTTAATATCAAGTGTTACGAAATGTATAATGAAATGGAACCAAAGAAGATAAAGAGGGAAGTAAAAATACTTGCCATCTTGCGTGCGCCGACACGCAACAAGCGCGACTTCATACTATGAAATCAAAATTCCCTTGGATTTCTATGAGGCATCGAAACTATGAGGCACCGGATGTTACGTTACGAGCGACTATAAGAGAAGCAATTATGGATGTCCGTTACTGTGATACGTTTGCGCGATTGTTTATGATCTAGATCTATATTTATACGCAACGGTTTTTTGCCGCATTAAGCGCATCCATGTATATATAACACCACAAGTCAAAGACTCTCTTATGGTCACGTGCAAATCAGGAAGGCGGTAATGTCTTGAAGTTTCTCGCAGAAATATAACATCGCTTTTGCGTGGCATAAAAGCATAAAAGCCACAGTAAAACCGGATATTAGAAATATACATTCGTGATATATTATTGGATAATTTCAGAGATCGCGCAGCTGTAGCAATAATTCTGGCGTTCTGTGGTTGACGTGCGCTCGCCCGAGAGAAGTCTCTCCCTCTCTCTGTCTCTCTCTCTTTCTTTCAACTATCATATCCGTTTGATTCAATATCGTCGTGTCGATCCTCGGCGTGCCACGCGATAATTTATAAGGTCCTTTCCCCTCGCGGAGACCTTCGCCATTCCGCGAGAGATCGAATCGAATCTCTCAAGGGACCTTCGATCTTCGACGAGATCGATTTCCCGATCCCGTTACTTCTTTCGTAGCCCTAAGGGGAAGTTATCCTCGCGGTATGTATCGAGCGTGAGGCGACATTACATGTGGAGCGCGCGTGCGCTGTGTGTGTGTGTGTGTATTTCGCGATGCGAATGTGTGCGCGCACGTCGTGTGCACTACGCTCCACCTCGAGAGAGGATGATCTCAAAGGTTAACGATGCTCCGCGCTTTGTGCGAACCTCTCCCTGGAAAAGGTGATCGGCCAGTTCTTTCCGTGTGATGATCGACCTCCTTCAATCATGACCCGCGGATCCTGATGGAGCCGGATCGATAAGCAAGATTGACAAGGAATAATCTTTGAACTTATACGCGAATATCTTTATAAGACGCTTAGCGGTGAACAATCATGATATTAGATTGACTCAAGTCGCTACTTATTTATAAAATAAACGTTCGAAACGCACCGGAAGAAGAACAAGAAGAGTGACTACTTGTCATGACGCGACAATAACGCGCGACGGGAGGAAGAACTATTGTGACTCTCGAACCCTCGTATTTTTGTCGTCCTTCCCGTGTTCTGCCACTCGTCGCTGTCGAATTAGTCAGAGGGGTTCTTTAATCGAGGCGGCGGTTTAATGCTGACCTTCCGCGGCCCCCGCGCCATCCGGTAATGAAAGCAGCCACCGCGTGGTCGGTCGGTCGACCAGCCACGATAATGGCCGCAATTTGTAACCGGGGCGAGGTCAATTAATAAAGACATCAGGTCATTAATTTAATTGCGAGTGCTGCACCGCGCTCCGCGACGCCGCTCGCCGCTGCGAAACTCGTCGCGAGAATTACGCGCGCTATTTCATTTTTTCTTTCATCTTCTTCTGTATACGACGCTATTTACGTTCTAAAAATCGATTTGTTCATCCGCATCGCACAGTTTATTAATTGCGCAATTCCGTCGTTGTGAACGCGCGTTGGGAACGAAAGGTCGCGACTATTAAAGAAGATCGACGAAGTGCCGATGATCGTTACGGAACGAATTATCGGTCTATCTCGACGAAAATAACGCGCGTCTAAACGATCGCGCTCTATCGAGGATGATGAGAAACGGCTTGTTTCTTTCGTGGAAATACGATGAGTCTTGCAGACGCGATTCTTGAGTATCTGTTGATACTTTTCAATCAGAGATCGGGATCACTCCGATCGCTTGCGGATGGTGTATAAATATATTTTCAAGTAAAGGATACTTGAGAAAATAGGCTTCAAATCAAGAAAGTGCCGTGAGCACATACCCCCTCCAGTGCGCGGGATTTGATAAATTGATGGATAGATGTTAATGCGATCCGGGACACGTCGCCTTAAGCGGACAGCACGGAAAATAATGATGAATATCCTATATAACTCAAGAAGTATGAAAAACAATATTGCGGTAATAACACGCGTCGAAGCGAAAACTTAAGAGCGTATAAAATCAATGAACATTTCATTATATCATTGAATAATTTATTGCGCGGCAGTTTTTCTCTTTATATTTTTATTTGCATTTAACGTCTCGCACAGCGTGAGAAAAAGAGACTCCGTTACAATTGCGGCCGCGCACGGTCTCAAGTAAATAAACTATTGGTACCTAATCAAAGTCGTTCAAGACGGGATCAAAGCGACCTCGATCTGCGAAGCACAATAAATCGGTCGTTAACGAGATAGAAAGTTTCCACTCTTCTTCTCGCCCGGAATATTCGACCGGCGAGTATTCCAAACACTGTGACGGCTTTGTTATCGGCGTTCGCGAGTTTCAATTGCGAATCATGGTACGTAATCAACGCGAGGATATTCGCCGAGCTATTAGCTTGGATGTCTTTCACAGCGCGATGCATCGACCACCGTTCGCACGCTCGTATAAATCAGCCTCTCGTATCAACAAGCGAAAAAGAAACAAAGAGGCAGATTGAGATACATATATATATATATATATATGTATTGTAAAAGCGCCGCTGATGGCGCATTATCGAGATATTTTGTCGTAATTCCTGTCTTTCGAGATTCAAAGAGGAATGAGTTTTCCCTCTGACGGATGTGCGAGATATGCGCAACTCGTAAACGCTTCTGTCGTTGATATGCACGCACGGAATATAAGATCCCCATCTCACGTACTCTCATGCATTCCGTCACGTCGTCATTGGGGGAGGAAATCACCGTGAGGTAAGACCCCACAGTATTAATTCTAATCACTTCTCTGGCTCCCTGCTCTTCTCGCGAGTCGTCTTCTGAGAAAGTTGCGACGGTCTTCGAATTTTTCTCACTAAGTTGATAACATCCGGTGTTTGTCACAATATTTTTTTTTGTGTTCCGGTTTTACGCTCCTGTGTAATTTTATGCGAACGATTAATGAGACTCTAGTTTGTGTGTAATTGTGGTGTATCGCGACAAACATAATGGGATTCATTAATAAATTTCGCCAACAGCGCAGCGAAACAATTACAAACTTTTAGCATCCTGCGAGATGCACCAGACGCGACGGTGGCTTCCAGCGCGGTCTGATGGCTTCCAGTTTTATCGATCTTCCTCGTGGTACAAGCTTCGGCGAGACGCACACGTATGTATACCGGTGGGACCTGTTTTCCGCCGATGAAAAGTTACCGGGATCGTTCCCCGAGACCCCGACGACGAGACCCCTGTTGATTTTCCAGATGAAGTTGGTTTCACGGAGGCCAACGAGAAAGGTTCGCGCACCGGGAACGAGAATATCGAGATCGGCGGTCAGCAAATTAATGCCTCCGGGTATCCCGTCGCACTTTCCGGATGGAGCAATTAAACGAGGAGCTTCGACAATTATACATGTATAAATACCTTCTTACGCGGATTAAACACGCACGCGCGTATCGCCGGCCGATATTCCAATAAAGACTTTTGTCGTCCGACCAGTTTTCGACGGGAATAGGAGATTTGCAGAGACGCGGGGCGAATTATCATCTCTTGTTTTTTTTATATTTATTTTTAAATAATATATTGCTCAATTTATTACTCAAAAATTAGTCATTAGTTCTGATAGCCTGTCTCGCTCTCAAGTATCATATTACTCAACCACGAAAGCGTCGGGTACAAGTAAACGATAGGCTCGTTCACATAAAGCATACCGACGATTTCGTTGCGGTGACATTCCCGGGTGCATTTGCGCGGGTAAAGTGCCCGTGGCGATCGGCAAACGGTGTGCTTTGATCGGCGTTTGCAACTCGCGCCGATCTCTCCACGTCTTATATCTCTCTATGAGAGAGAGAGAGAGAGAGTGTGTCCCGTGTACTAACCCCCCTTCAAATTGACGGCAATTGCACGATCACCGATGAGACTCACTTTCGTTTTACGAGGAGCGAAGTATCTCGCTAGAATAGCAATAAGACGTTATTTCTGCGGAGTGCCACTTTTACAGCCGACGGAAAATATAGACGGCCAGGACCGGTTGCTTGCCTATTGCGCTCAAATAATACGTTTCCGGTAAAGCGAGCCCGATGCAATCCAACCGACCGAATGCGCGCATAATGTACGCGCAATTTATGCGAAATGGCCGTTCACCGGTTGAAAAAAAAAAATAGAGAATCGAGTGTGCGGATAAAAGTGCGACGGTGCATGCCGTTGATGATTGTCACCATTATTGTTCCCTTTTCGTTTAACAACAAGGAACTGACGTGGTGAATATCGCGTAATTGCGACCGCGTGTATTTTCGCGCATGTACGCGAACGTACATTGCTGCGTATTTACAGTGTCCGCGTGATGCGTTGCAGTCTGTCTTATTATTAAATCGGTTTTTGCACGAGTGAACGACGCGCGATACACTTACGCGTGATTAGAGATTCATTTAATTTGACGCGGCTTATTACGTTAACTCGCCGCAATTTCGCACAAAGTAGAACGCTTTCTTTCTGGTTTTGCCGGCCTCATGTTAAGATCTCTTTTTCTTTCTTATTGTTGCAGCCCGAAACGGTGCCTCAGGCGAGAATCGATATGACCCGCGTCCTGGAGGTAGCCGCGGCCGAGGACGTCACCGGACATCCCAACAGCCTCGCCGTGACCTCGCCGGAGGGTGTGACCTTCGTCAAAGGAACGTGTCGGGAGGAGACCAGATGGTGGACGGATGTTCTCCAGGTGTATTCACGGAATAAGGCAAGTTCGGTTGAAATTGCGCTTTGAGTTCTTCGAGTTGTGTTTGATGAAATGCATCGCGCGAGAGAAACCGTTACGGCGAAAGGCGCCAATCTAATTTCTGCGTCAAATTATGAGGGAAATATCGATTGGAGAAAATAACTCGATGAAACGCGCGTGCGTCGAGATGCGTAATGTACACTTGCGATATAGAATGGCATCTTACGTGTATCATTAGAGAATTTAATTTTCTGTCGATTACGGGGAGGATGTGTACGTACGCAGTGTGGCGGGGTGTATCGATGCCGCCGTGTATTACATCTTTGAAGAAGCATTTCGCGAGAGAAACGAAGTCACGCGAATGGTAGAAACGCAACGCATTGGCTGATTGCCGGTGCTCTCGCATGATTATTACGTACCGTACATCCTTTCCCTCTCTCTCTCTCTCTCTCTCTCTCTCTCTCTCGCGTCATGCTTGTTACGCGTGCAAGAATGATTCCCGCTTGTGACGTCTTTTCGCGCCGACGGGATTAGCTCTAATAGGGTTTCAACATGCTACCAGAAACCTACTCGGTGTGTAACACACAAACTACGGGAGAAAAATACTATATCACGATTATTCCAGCGCGAAACGGACGTTGTTGAACACGGTCAAAATTAATTCGTTGAACGAATGTAATTGGCGAAACGCTGTCGTTACGCTCAATAATATTTCTTAAATGTTGTGAACGACAAAAGTAACTTGTCGTCTCTCCTGTTGTATAAAAGGAGACCATTGTACATCTCAGGGGGGATTAGCGGCAATGTGGGACAGAAAACGTGACATAAAAGTGCGTCGAGTTCATAAAACGGGCGGGCGAGCGCTTTCGCATGATGAAGCGATTATTGAGCGTGATTGCATGGCTGTCGGTGCTTGAAAAGGCCTTGAAAAAATAGCGTAAGCGACAGTGAAACTGCCGATGTCGCTTCGCATAATCGTCGCCGTGCCGACCGTCTCGCATACCGCGGCGCTCATTACCGTTGACAATAATGCCAGTAGTGCGCGAATTGTCACGAGACGCAGCATCTCTTTGGGGTTGTCAGTCGAGTCGATTGGCTCCTTCCTGCGACTCATTCAGTCGTTTTCGCGATCTCTAAAGGAGCCTCCGTTTTCTCTTTTCACCGTCGGTTAACACCGCGCGTCAGGGCGTCGCAAAAAGAAGCACTATTATTCAGCTGACGACGGAAAGCGCTTGGTGACAAATGGAGAGTGCACCGTTTCACTCGCTTGCTATGCGATCGGTAATGCGTGGTCGAGAGAGAACCAAGTTGGAAACGTGAGAAATCGTTTCTAGATAAAAGCCACTTTACAAATGAGTTAAATTCCATTAATTGCGACAAGAGTGAAGTATTTAAAACAGTTAATCAAAGTTTATCAATTTTTTGAAAGGTTGCTTTTATGGTCAAAACCTTATTTGCACTTAATAAATTAATTTAAGAGAACTCGAGGAAATCCTCTTATCTGATTAAATGTTTTAACTTATATTTATTAGTAATCACGTCTGTTTATTGGTAAGAAACATACGGATAAAGAATTGAAAGATAATGATCCTGGCAACCTTGACGGCCATTCGCATACACACACACACACTTACAATAACGCCACAGAGCAATCGTAAATTCATGACGGCATTTCATGCACGTCGCGAATTGTTGCGGCCGTAAAACAATTGCTGCTGAGGCGAGATATATTTGCACGGTATCTCTGCGTGTCGGTGATTTAAGATTTACAACGGCGTGTCGGGGAGCAAGTATTTGTGTTTACATGTAGATTTGTTGCGTAACGCACGAGTGGTCGGCGCGCGGTCAAAAAGAAAATCGGACCGTGTCGTGTAATTGTCTACTAGCCTCTCTCGATTATGTCTACTAAATTGCGCGAAGGTGTCCGTTCACGGACCTCCCGATCAATCAGCCGTTGTGAATCGAACCGACTCGAAAGCTGTCATATGGTACACATATTGCTCGGAACTTTGTGTAACACGACGTCGGTAGATCGGACCGAAGTTATGCAAGAAATGATCGATCGGTAGGCAAAAATATCTTTTTATATTCGAAACTTCTGATACTTAATTACATTCAAAACGCAAGTTCCTGCGTCGTAACTTAATATACCGCACGATGAAACATCTCACACAGAGAAAATGACAGATTGCACACAACATCTCTCTACGTACAAAAACAAAACAAAAAAAAAAAAATATTCTTCTTATGCAGTATTTGTGCACATCCAAAGAAATCTCGCAACAACTCGATAATTATCTCTTCAGGATGAAACGAGGTGTTTTCTACGCCCGCAAGAGCCGCCTCAATCGATCAATCGTCCTCGCGCGCGATCCGCTTAGGATCCCTTGGTATATGTAGACGCGCATTGTTCGCATGAGATTATACACGACTGCACGTGTACGTACGTGAATTCTGTTACGCAAGCAATGATCGATCGGCAAACGACTGTATATTACACTTTGTGTTGTCGCTTGGTTTTGCCGGTGTAAACGAACGATTACGTTACGAGGCCAAGGCGAGATGCACGACATTTAACGTGGTGAACGTGGAGGAAACGCTGCTCCCGCGTTATTTTCTACATTTTTTTGCAATTACCCCTTCTCTCTTCATTGTCGTCCTTCGAATCGCCGCGCTGTCTGTGCAAAGGAGGCTATTATTTTGCACCTCGCAACCCTCATCTCGGTCTGTCCGTGTACAGTCGCGCAATCACGTTTTCTTTCAACCGAAGCTGCATGGCGACGCACGGGAACAATATCACGTGAATAATATATAGCCACACACATTAATACTGATGTTAATGATAAAAGAAGGATATAAGATATTTTGTAGTGTTGTAAGGCTGACTTTAAATTCAAATATTTTCCAAGAAACATCCGTTCGCGTTCGTGAATCGTACTGTTCTCACGATTACAGACGCAGATAAACGTAATCGCACGATTTTCAGATAGCATGCGCCTCGTCACGATCGATTATCCAGTTAACGTAGAGAGATCGTTACGGCAGAGAGAAATTCTGGAAAGGATTAACATTAGAATTAACGATACTTCTCGAAAATTCTCCACAGCAATTTTTCGTCACGTTTGTGTCTGTGTTTGATTTTCAGGGTCGGCACAAGCGAAACGCGACCTTTCCCGGCGGACAGACGACGATTCTGCAGGTTACGCCGACGATCCGAAGTAAGTGCCACCGCTCATGTTATGCAAATTTTGCGGCAATACACGCAGTAGTAGTACGCAGTAGATATTTCCATGCTGGCGGAGTTAACGATGGCGTAATTACTGTCTCGCTTAGCCACTTCGCTCTCTCGAGTAAAGCAGCGGAATTGCACGGACATATGGTCTTTACGCGAGCAATTTGATGTAACGAGAGACGTAATGTGCAACAGTTCAGTCAGCGTGGTAAATATTACATGAATGCGTGTGACAAGAATGAAAACGTGTATATACCGGGAAGATAACTGACGCGATATCTTCTTTACAATGCGCGCGACTATTATTTATACTTTCATACTGCTGTCAGCTCGTAATTCTCAGTTGCAAGACTGAAGATCTTTTCTTTCTCCTGGGAAATAAATTCGATCAAGTTTGTTTTATTTGTAAATCTTTGTGTAATAAATTTGCATCCGTTTGCTCCAAATTTTCACACAAGATGGTTTCTGAACTTGATTCGTTAGGTAACACGCCGAACCCTCCGCGACCGCGTTTCAATAGCTGTCGATCGGAACCGCGCAGCAGTCCGTGGATTCCGGAAGCCGGCGGCGGAACGTCCGATCTCTGCTCGTCTGTCTTCTCGTCAACGCCGTCATTAGTGACAACCAGCGTTGTTACGACCACCAGCAGCAGCTCTGTGCTGACCAACGGCAATACGGACAGCATCGCCGAAAGCAGAAACAGTTTGCCGCCTTTGCGTACCGGAGCTCCTTTGGAGAATGGTTCCACCGGAAGCTACCTGACTACCGTGACGACGACGTCGTTAAACGGCACTATTGGCAACACGCTCTACTCGACGGCCTCGACGACAACGACCGTCTCGACGACAACGTCGACGACGACGACAACGACGACGACGAGCAGCGTCGTCTCGCTGACAGAGAAGCCGCCGATGGTCCCCAATGACGGCACGAGATCGACGAGTTATCGGGACCAACCTGCTAGCAGCGCGTCACCGCCGACCCGGGACAAGTTACGCGCCGAGGACAAGGCCAGACGCAGAATGAATCAGCAGGGCGAACGGACCGGCGGCATTATCGGCGATACGAGCGGTGCAGCCTCCGACGAGAAACTAGGTCGGTATTCAATGAGACACAATTTCCTCTCGTATTGACGCCGAACAAGCTTGACCCGGATGAAATCGAGGTCTGACATCTTCCCTGATTCCGATTACGCAGGGGCATCTGCCGCGGCGTGGTTTTTTTCATCTCAAAATAGATACGAAGATTTTATATTGGAAACTGTCAGGATGTTCGTCGAAAGTTTTTCGTTCGTGATAAATGTACGCGCGAATACAACTAGTTTATATACTTGAATGAAAACTCGGACGCAGTTTACATGCTGTAGTATGGTGATTTGAAGTCCGTGAAAGAAACTGCTAAAACGTACCGGAATTAAAAATCAGATTGATCTATACACACATTTCTTATTCGATATAATTGATAGTGTAAGGCGCAATAGTTTTTGTATGGAAAACCGCGCGTGAAGAGTTATAGCAAAAATTGTTCAGAAAAGAACGTTGTTGCCTCCCGCCTGCTCTTAAGGAGCCTCGATTGTGCCTTCTCTCCGCAGCCGACGTTATACACGTTGCGTAATTGCGTGCGCGCAATCTCGAAAGAAATCTGCGACTGCTCGGCCGCTGCGGCGCACCGCGCGATCCATAGATTTCATTTAGATTGACGCCGTCAACGGGCAACGGGGTACTTTAGAAATTGCATCGCGAAAAAATACGACTCGAGCATGCGAAATCTGTGGAACGATCTCGCTGACGATTTACAACAAATGCGGATTATTGAAATGCGTGAGTTTTATCGGAGCGTTGAAATTACGGAGAGATTTAAAACAACCGATCGCCGATTGATAACTTCAGCTTTGGTCGTGCGCTCAACGAAAACAATTTCGATGCTAAATTTGCGGGAAATCTACGAGTTGTAAGTAAAATGTAGAAGTTCTCTCACAAAACTTCGAAAGAAATGCGTATTTTGATATTCACTGGAATTTGCTGACCTCACATTGCAGAATTTAATCGAAACTTAATTTATATCTGTATTTTTCTCGTTGATGTAAAAAAGATAAAAATATGTTTATAATTGATTTACTAACTTGATTTATTTTGTAAATAAAATAATATTTTTTTAGAAGATTACAATCATTAATATAAACGATGACGTGTTTGATTTTGGTAGACTTGTAAAGCAAATAAGAGGAAAAAGCAAAAAGTCGTTCTTACGATCCGTTGTGGCATCGCGCTGACTAGAAGCATCCCGGTTATTAATTAGTCGGCAGTCAATTAATACAGAGTGATCGTTTGCTCCTGCCAGCGTCAGCGTAGTAGGCGAACGGCGCACTTAAGCGGGAAAGAAATTAATTAGTTAACTCTCGTCGACGTACCGAAACGAATGTTTGATAACAACGAACGCAGAAAGAAACGACTTAACGGTTTTGCTTCGTGCGAGATGACCTTCTGTTCACTTTGCTGACACTCTTAAGTATCATAATTATAATTTATATCTTACGGAAAAAAATGTGCCGTTAAATTTGTGAGTTTTGATCAAAATAATAAATAGACGAAGAATTGAAAAGATGAATAAATTTAAATACAAGGATAAAATTATTAACTATCGTGATTTAAGAATACAGAGAGATAAAAAATGTATATTACATATGTATAGATGACGACGCATGTCGGAGGATACTTTTGGAGCACGAACGAGAAAGAGAGGGTAAGCTACGAGATATAGCGGCTTCGTTAACGCAACCGCGAGTGAGAAGAATCAAGTCGAGAACTTCGGAGCCAACTAGGGATGTTGTGGACACGTCTCATCAAGATAAGCTAGTACGTGATAAAAAGATATAGAAATATAGCGTGTTTGAAAACGAGAAATAAAACTAGAATAATCACATTACGGTAACGTATCTGTCACGTACAGATCAGAGGCGATCCCGACGGTTGCGGCCTAGATATTACCGGTATCAGATATTCACCCACTTCCGAGTTGCGAGTAGATCTGCCGGCGGAGGATTTGCTGAACATCAAGAAAGGCTGGCTGATGAAACAGGGATTGAATAAGGTGCGTCTCGCGTTGTTGATAAACGCGTCAAGTCTCGTGCTTAAAAGATTCGTTTCTTTTGCCTAGGAGTGGAATAAGCACTGGTTTGTTCTGAGAGGCTGCGGATTGATGTACTACAGGGATCCCTGCGCGGAGGACAAGGGCATCATGGACGGCGTTATAGATCTCAACACCGTCACTGCTGTCACGCCGCTTCAGGTCGCGAGAAATTACGGATTCCAGACCGTCGTGAGTGTTATGATTATGATATCGCGAGTTTTTTCTGTTTCCCGGAAAATTGTTGCAATCAACTGTGCATGACGTATTAAAGTCACGCTTGTGTCGCTCACTGCACCGCGTACTTATTGCTTTCACTTACGACGTACAGGCTTGGGACGACCGAGGCAACACAGTACTGTCCGCGGTAACCGCCGGCATCAGATCTAGTTGGATGTCGGCTATCAGAAGAGCGGCCAATCTGCCCGATCCTGATAGCAACGTGGATTCTCTTACAGTTTGTTCGGATGTTCAACAAGAGACAACACCACAGTCGCCTACTACGTGAGTACCTGTATAATTTTAACATTTATTTTTCACGCGTAAATAAGAAATTGTAAAAATATTGCACGTATATTTTCTATTACAGATCTATCACAGATCGCGAAAGAGATTCTGTTGTTCCCTCGACGTCCATCACACCCAGATCAGTTTTGTTCTCGTCCGACGAAGAGTACAGAACCGCGTCTGAGGGTGGGCGAAGAGAGTCCGGGGATTGGTCAGAGATGCCGGTGTCACCACCGCTTGTGAGAAATGGCGATTGGCCGATCGCGTTAAAGGGTTCTAGCTGGTCGGATTCAGCGAATCACGAATGGTCGGAACTACCGCCATCGCCACCGTTAACGAGGACTGCACTATCCAGGGTGAAGGCTCGATCTAGATCGAGTTCAAGATCGAGGGTCTATAAGAGAAGCCGAAGCTCGCCTCCGAGCTCGCGTAGAAGCACTCTGGACAGTGTCAGATCGGAGGATTTGATGATGGCCTGCTGCGAACTCGGCGAAGACGAGGAACAGAGCAACGGCCACCTCCAGAGTAACAGCTGTCTCTCTAGTGCCAACGAAAGTCCACTAATCGTCGAACTTCTGGAGAATCAAGTGTCGCTGCTGCGCGATCAACTCGATCAGAATCAGTCTCATCCGAGTACGCTACTAGTCATTATTGAGCGTCAGGAAAACGAGATCGAAAACTTGAAGTCTCAGCTAAACGCGGCGCGAACGGATATCACAAACGCGGAGAAGGAGCTGTCTAGGCTTAGACAGCAAAAAGCAGAAGCGTCTATCAGAGAGAAACAAGTAGAAGAGCTATTGAACACGATACAGAGGACAGAACAACAGAGGAATAAGGATCTGGACGACTTGGAAAAAATGAAGAAAATGTATAACAGGGACAAGGAAGTCTTAGAATGCAAATTGCTGGAAACAGAGGCTATTCTGAGAGAAACAACAGAAAGATGCGAGATGCTTACGAACGAATTGACGTCGAGTCACAGAACGATTGAGCATCTACAAGCGGAGATGGCAGCTCTCAATAACAGATTGTCGCAAGGTATTGAGGAAAATGATAAGCTTTATGCTAGAGTACGGGAATTAGAAGAGAAAAATGGATTTTCCACTTCAAGGGAACGCAGAAGAAGCTTTGATTCGCTTAGTGACTTGACTAACATCGAGTTAGATTTAGATTTGACTGCATTAGACAAAGAAAGGATCATGGAAGAGTATGACGAATTACGAAATCGTTTTGAGAAAGCCGTTATGGAGATTCGAGCTATGAGGAAGGAGTTACGAGAAGCTCATGCTACGCAGGATATTTTGGAATTAGAAATCTTTGCTCATAAACAGAATGAAGCTAGCATTAGCGAGACTAATCAAGCTCAAACTCAATTAATGGCAGCGAGGATTCAAGACTTGACCAACAAGTTAGCTGCTGGTGAAAAGCAAATTAGAACAATGAAGCAGAAACTAACAAAAGCTGAAACCAGAGACAAGAGAAGGTCACTTTCTCTCAAAGGAAGAGAATCTTTCCAGATTTCTCAAGAAGTAGAGGACAAACTGTTGGATCTGGAAAACAAGATCTGTGCCTTAGAGAAAGGCAAGAGCATAAGTGCCCCCGTTTCAGCAGGCAGCAGCTCAAAAGAATCGAGTCCTAATTTGAAAAAGGAGAAAAGAAGAGACAGCAAAAATTTAGATAGGAACAGACTGCGAAGAAAGTCATTAGACAGCGCAACAAGCTCCGAACCAATGAAAATGTTGATTAGATTAAGTACTTTAGAAACAAAAGTGACAAACGTTGCAGAAACCATGATTAGCGATGCGGAAAAGGATTCGAGTGAATGTAGCGAAGTTAGCGGGTCATCCGAGGTATCATTGGAGATAATGGCAAGGCTGAAGAAACTAGAAAGAGTGGTGTCAAAGTCGAAGCGACGATTGGAAAAGTGTCTCGGCTCGACGCAAGCTGAAGACAAGGCCGAGAAATGCTTGCGCGAGGTGAACGAGATATTGGACTCGTGCTTAGAATGTAAAAAGAACCAGGCTGGCGCTCAAATCATCGAGTCAGTAGGAGTAGTGGTATCTAGGTTAGAAACTATACTTAAGGACAAATTAAGCGAACTCACGAAGAGACGGCAGATACTGGCGGAGGAAGGTCGGCTTGATGAGAGAGAAAAGATGAAACTCATCGCCGAGAGGATCGCCTTCGAATCCGTGATTCTGCGGCAGATAAAGTGCGCGTTGAATCGCACAACGGACAGAAGTGCCGTTCTGAGTGAAATAGTTGAAACTAGTCAGCTTGCCTCAAGCTTAAAGCGTAAGATTCACGGAACTAAGCCCAAAACATACCAAAATTCGAATTATATTCAGTATCTCACTAAGGTGTTAGCGAATAAGTTAGTACTGGTAGGACACGCTTCTGCGGCGACGGAAACGTCGAAGGAAGTTAACGCGGCTCGCAATGAGACTCTAAACTTCCTGCTGCAGAAGCAGTGCGAGATCAACGAGATTATGCGGAAATACAAGGACACGAAGTTACGACAGCTCGCGGAAGCTCTAGCCGCCGAGACATTGAGTCTGTCCGATCAGGAAGATCTCACGGGCAAACAGATAAGCGGTTCAAACAGAAAATTGCTCGAGGACAGACGTATTCGCGAAGCATGGGCTTTAGCGCAAGAGACTGTGAGCAAAGAACTCGTGCAAGCCGAGGTGTCACACGTTATCATGCGTTATGGTCAGTTGTATGAGCAAAATGTCACGTCAATCATGGACACTTGTCTCAGCTTTGACAGTGCGGATAATGTCAGGTTGGAATCGTGGATAGATGCGACGCAGGCGCGTTTGCGTCAAGAAATGGAAATTTGCATAAACGAGTTGTCGGAAGCTTACGAGAAATGCTTGCGTACAATGAAAAAACACAAATTGACGACGATGGACGTACACCACGAATCTCGTCAATTACTGACGGAATACGCCGACGTGATTGCGCACAAAGCTTTATTAGACTCGAGAATTGCTCTTCTACAGGAAACCTCACGTCAATCGGGTACAACATACTCTGGCGAGACTTTCGTATCTAGTCTTATCCGAAATGAGGAAATCCTTTCCTGTTTGACGAACGACGAAGGATGCGACTTCCAAAGAAATCCGATTCTCGACGCGGAGTATAGTTACCTTTATCAACGATTAACAAAGGAATGTGAAGACATAATATCCGGAAAACGAGAATCAAAAGAACAACTTAAGAACGTCAGTCAGTCGTTGTTTTACTTGGAAGAAGATTTAGCTGAACTCGGCAAGTCTATGAAAGAGAAAGCGGGTTTAAATATTGACAATCTTATTTGGCCAAAGTCGAGCAGCATCACAGATTGGTCCAGTGTGTGCGAAAAGTGCTTGCATTTGAGAGAACAAATAAGAAAACTTAAAGATCATATGAACACAATGTCGTGTCAGACATGCACTCAATTGCAAGAAACTATTCAGAAGATAACTACCGAGCATAATCAGGAATTGGAAACGCTTAAGCGCAATCAGGAGAAAGATTTGATGGACATTAAAGGCGAATTGGACAGTCAGCGTCAATCTCTGACGACGCAGTATGAGCAGGAAGCAGCTAGCCTACGCGAGAGAGCCAGAAAACTGGAGCATCGTCTCAACACGATGGATTCCGAGCATTCGGCTCACGTAAACGAATTGAGAGCCGCCTATCAGCGGTCGATGAGCGCCGAATTGGATACCGACGCCGAAACACGAAAGCGATATAAAGAAGAGATCAAGCAGCTACGTGCTTTATGTGAAAAGGGTTTATTGGCTATGGAGAACTCGCACAGACGCATTATCGCCGAAATGGAAGAGAAACATCGGCAAGAACTGGAAAATTTACGAGTGGAAAAGGAGCAGGCGCTTTCAGAAGAAACGCAGGCGACTCTGGCTGCATTGGATGCCATGAGAAAAGCGCACGAACACGAAGTACAAAAGGAAATTGCTAAATTCAAGCAAGAGTTTATCAAGCAAATGCAAGCGCGCGAAGACATCGGAGTATTACACAAGGAACACGAGTACATATGAAAATTTTAGTTTGACTAATCTAATCAAATCAATTTACATAAAAATTAATTGTACGTTTATTTATTTGTTTTACAGGGAAGAAATGGAAGAGATAAAGCAAGAGATCCTTTCTTTGTCCGCGAAATATTCATCGAAGTGCGTGGAATCAGCCGCGTTAGAAGAAAAAGTGGGCAACTTATCCAAACAACTCGCTCAGGCGCAGCAGCACATTATGCAATTGGACGCGAGAAACAAGCAGTTGAGAGCTCATTTGATGTTAGAAACAAACGACAGTAGTATCAACGATACTATACAAATTTTGAGGGGAAGGGACAACGAGCTCGCTGAACCGAGAGAAGAGATACATCGACTGCAACAACAGTACAAGGTACGGACATATGACTGGAAGACTTTTATTTACAAATAGATGTAGATGTGTTTAACACATATCTTACTAAATTGATTAATTTGGCCGGAGTTACAGATTATGGTGTTTTTTATTTAGCGAGCTTATCGCGCTTTTACGAAATCCTGACCGTATCAGTATTTTAATGCAGTAAAAAATTCCTGCGCTTTTCATTAACAATCCTCTCATCGTGTTTATTTATTTAAACTTACGTATATATTTACATGCAATATAAGATCGTACGATGAACATACTTGGTTGTAGTAAATCCTCACGATAGACACGAGTGCAAGTTAACGGACAGCAATTGATTAGCGTTTTAACCATTCCTCGCTCTCGCTCATCACTTCGCATTGACGCATATTTTCGATATTTCACTAACAGCATGGGGACACTCCTCGTGAATCGTCCGGTGTGCCGTCGAAAACCTCGTCGCTAGACTACTCGCCCGCCTACGCGCCGCAGCGTCTCAGAGGTAGCCAAAGTAGCGGTGAGCAGAAATTAACGTGCGAGCGGAACCCGAAAGGGACGCATTCTGGCACGTTTCAAAAGTCGGCAGATCGGCCTCACAGCGCATTTTCGTACAACCTCGAGCGTGTAAAATCCGTTTCGTTGCCGTATTCAAATAGTCTGACTAGGCCGGCGAGTAGCGCCGGCGTTGCCAGCTCTCACGTTGAGGGAAAAGAATTGCCGGCAAGCTTAGAGCAAAAGGGTCAGGAGCGTAATGGCAGTCTGGGTTCGCCGTTATGGGACAGCTTAAGACCGAGGAGCGGCCTGCCTCATCAGTATCAAGGTACAGAAGACTGATGAATGCTATGAGAGGAATGAGATAAAAAGAGGGAAATTTGCGGTGGTGGAATGCATTGACAAAAAACATTGGGAAAGATCTTGTGGTGCTTTTGTAAAATATTACTGCGTTTATGCGCGTTGACAGAATCGTGTGAAAATCAAAAGAAACCTTCTACATTTTACTTACTACATTTTACGTACTGTGTCTTGCGAAAACAGAATCTAATATACATACATACATACGTTGAGTGCTTGATAAAAATTAACAGCGCTTTTCTATAAAATTATATAATACATATATATTAACACTATATATTTAATAATTTTTAAAAAGTCATTAAATATATAAAGATTATACGAGTTAGCCTGTTTTTCAGTACGTAAATACGGGAATACTGTGCAATACTTATAGAAATGCGACGAGATTGTTATCTTAAAAAGCTTAGCCTTGTCGCATGTATGTATAAAACATTATTTAAATGTTTTTCTTTATATCAAAGATAATATTGTTAGTCTCATTAATTTTTATGCGAAAGACTGATAAAAAATTTTTTATATACGATATCAATCTTAATTCGTTATTTATCTCATCATACTAATAACTAACATCAAAAAAGATTGTGCCTATATGTTACTATCTAATAATTATGTATGATCAAAATTACATACGACCATTGCGCAGTGCTTGTCTAACGCTGGTTATTCGCTAACTTGAATTATGTGCAAGTTTACGACGTGCAATATGCGAACTATGTCTCATCGTGGGTGTAACGCCATTCACATGCTATTTCTAAAGACATTAACTAGCTGTCGTGTAACATGACAAAGATGTGCAAGTGATGTAAGATCGTGTTTGCCGAAGTGAAAATTCTTACGTGAAAATATTTGCATATCTACGGTTTGTACAAGGTTCAGTTATTTTACTCAAATAAAGCGTATATCTCACTCTTTCAAGATACAAATCTAGTCACTGGCGCATCTCCAATTCCAAATATTACAATATACACTAATATGTAGTTGTAACAATTATTTCCACGTTAGATTGTAACAGATCTAAGAGACTAAATTAACTATCTTACAATAGTCTAAAAATCTTCGTAAGATACTCGAATATATATATGTATATATATGTGTATACATGTATATACACATATATATGTATGTACTTTGAAGAGAAAATAAAAAGAATACATACTCTTTTTATTTTCAAACATTCAGTTGAAGTATGTATATATTTATATATACAGATTTGTAATCAACATTAATATCTATATTTACTAGATCTAGAAACTCAATATTTCTAATCAGATGCGTGCAGAACTTCGTGCAACGTGACTATATATGAATCATCTTAAATAATAGAAAGTATTTTAATATATTAAACGCACTCTACAGCATCTAATGTGGAAAATATTGAATAATTCTAGTTCTAGTAAATGTGAAGATATTAATGCTAGTTAGTGTTACAAGTAAATGCAATAATTATATATTTGAGAAAAATGTACGAAAATCTAGCAATCTAAAGTAAATCTAACGGAGATAAGTTCTTTCTCGCGATAATCAAAACGTTAGACATCAAAGTATCGTGTGATAGATACATTTTGTAACAATTTTATACTTAAAATTTTCAATATTTTTCATTATATTTTTAACAACGCAACACGGTACAAATGTTGTCTCTAAAAATCTGCGTTTACGGATATGCGACGAATATGTGCGTAACAATATTTCGGCAATTATTTGAAATGTAAGGTGGCACAACAACAGAGATGCGAGTCGGCGGTGGCGCTGGCGCCCAACGGTGGCAGGAGAGCAAACAGAATGAAAAGCAACAGTTCCAGGAGACATACGCCCTCCGTGCCGACGCTCGTCACACATCCCGCCTCACCCCGGAACCCTCAGCTCTCTCCGTTGCAGGTCCGTTTGCCGCCTCTCTTCACTGCTTTCATTACCAAAGCGTTATCATTCTATTCACGTTACCCGCTTTCACATTAGTCTTGATGTCTTCTCTGTGCTTTTTTATGTAAAGTTTTATGTTTATGATTCTTGTCGACGCTTGATAATTTAACCGAGTATCAGGTCGCTCTTGAAACCCTATATATAGTGTGTCAGTATTGCATGTTTACATGTTACAGAGTTGATGAGGTCTCCAACAGTGAGGTGGTCCAGCAGAAGTTGTCGCAGCCTGCCTCCGACACCCACACCAAGTTATCATCATCCACTTCATCCTCCTTTACCTGTCGTGGGTATGGTCGCTGAAAGGAAGAAGCGCTTCGAACTCTAAAATCTTGTTCTTCCTTTTTTTTATGTAACTTGAAATGATTCATACAAAATCGGGTATATGTGCATACAGGAATAGTTTGTAATCATGATTGACCTTAATAATTGAAAGAAGAGAACATTTACAGAATCCAGACAATAATATGTCAATATTATTATAAAAAGAAGACACTACGTATACAATTCTGATATGCGCTATTCCGCTCTGAAGTTGTAAGACTGAAAGCGTTTTGATATTGCGCCATCCATGGACCAATAAATTATATTTAAAACGCTACGCGATTAACGGATTGAACAGTATCGTATTTGCGACTCGTAAACGAGCGAGTCGCAGCTCAACACTGCCATACGAAAATCATGTGAGGCTTGGATGATTTTTGGCGGACCAAAGTTGACTTGTCTTGATTGCGCTCATCGTGAATATTGAACATGTTTATCAGGTAAACATGATTCAATAGCCGAAATGAGTTGCTAGAGGTCGGTTTGCGCAATCCTTCCTCTGTTTTCTTCACGAATACGCGTAACATCGAGAGAGTTCATCGTGGATCTTATCAATCGCGATAGATCGTTTTTTACATACCTTTTCTCGATAAATTTTGCTAAGCATATTTACCTATGCCATGCCATTTACGGGCAGATGTTTGATATATGGCATTTAAAAAAACTTTGATAAGAACATTTTTTACCGTAGATTTGCAGGACTAGATCTTTGCTACGAATATCCTTCCGCGAATATCCATTTTGAAATGCATATTTTATGGGGGCATTACTTATCACAAAACTCTTTACGATATTTATTTCTTTGTGGTGCTAAAAACAAAATAGGAGTGTCAAGGAGACTCGTGATATCCTGTCGTAATATAACGTAGAGTTCATGCTTTTTGACGAAAAAGTATGAAAGACCAAAAAAAAAAAATGGATTAAATTCTCGCAAGTTTTACAAAAAACTTTACACGAAGCATATACACATATAAGTAATACTTGATCGTATCGATGTAAATCATGTATTAATGTTTAAATGTGAATATATCTACCTAAATGTTTAGCGTTATCAAATCTGTATTTGTTGAATATGCTCGCTGAGACTTGACGGAAAAAAGTTCAATTTTCGAACTGTTGATTACACTTGAGTATGTTGTCTGTTTGTTTAGGTCATGTAATTCCGATAATATTAAAGAGAAGATATTTTTCAGACAGGTCTCAACAGAATATGTAAAAAAAAGAGATTTTTAATTTGTGTTAATTTGTTATTCGAGAACACGAAAAAATCGTTTTACGCTTGTTTCTCGCTCTTGTTATGTATAGATTTTGCACACAATACGACACGTTATCGTATTGCACTGTGTATTACCGCATTTTCTCATTATGTAAATGTTTTTCCGATTGCGATCATTTGATGTTAATATTGTATAGTTTATGACGTTTTATTAAGACGTAAGAGAAGTATATATATATGAAAAAATAAATAATTAATTAATCCTCCGTTTTATCCCTCCCTTTCTTATTGTATAGATTGTTTATATATATTATTGTATTCTATATATCATATTATATATATATATATATTATTGCGATTCGTTTCACTCTGATTCGTTCGATATAGTTAAAACCATAGAGGATATTAAAAAACACTTTACTGATTGCCTCTTATGTAGAATAATTACTCAGGATTGTTTTACATTTATATATAATATAATATAATTTGTGCTATTTGTATTTGTATGATAATTTATAACACGTTTGAAATAAAATACAGTAACCATGAGGAAACTTGTTAAACAACATTAACTGATTTGTGTGGCTCTTTTTTTAATTACAAGTCCACTTGTAAAATTATTGAGAATTGTTATATATTTCGAGAATTAGTATTGAAATACCTGTATTACTGGTGACTTTGATGTTTACTAACGGGTATCTTTGCCTCTTCACTTTTTATGTTCTGCTTCAAAAACCTGAAGAATTAAAAGAATTATGTTAATTACGATTAAATTAAATTAAATTACATTACATTAAAGTAAATTTGTTGCAGAAATTACCTTATTACTACATAAAATACCGATTAGTAGTTCGTGGTGTTATACATCGAAGACTGATGAAGAATCCGCATAGACACATGACTAGTGTGGTGCATCCGCTTGTTGTTTGACTCGCGTAGTACAGATGTCGGCACTTCCCGTTCCCGCGCCGCATTTCATGCAAGTCGGATCGTAGTGCGATTGCTCCAACTTTTTTCTCATATTTTTCGCATCAAAGAGAACATCGTGTGCGAGTAAGTGCCGGAAGAATTAAATCAGGTATCTAATATTAATTAGCGCATGAAATTGCGGTCAATAACGTTTTTAAATAGAAAAAGCAATTTTTGTCGACGCGGCTTCATCTCGATGCGTGATTATGTGTGCTTTTACTTATGTATTATGTAAAAACCCGTGAGTTTCTAGTTTTGCAACTAAATAATCGCGCAATAAAAAATTACAAATACACGTCTGTGACATGTTCGAAAGTATTTTTGTTTAAACAAGAAAAAGAGATTGACGCGCCATTTTGTGAATCGCACATCCACGATATATTCAAATTGAAAATATTCACGCTTCCGGTAGTGCATTACCGCCTTGTAATAAATTGTGCCAAAACACTCGCGCGCAACATGTTTGTAAAATATTTTTTCTTTAATTTATTATAGATATGATGGAGCCGTTGTTCAAGGTCTCCGCGGACGACGAAAGTTTTCTGCTGCACATGAAAAACAAGTTAATGTCGGGAACAGAGAGTTTACAGGTAAGCGATATTTTTACTTATTTACATATTTGCGCTTACGTCGTTACGCCTATGTTGTACGTATTTATGTCACGGTTTTATAACATACTTTCGTTTAAATCTTGTTTTTGTCATAATAAAAAAAAGATATGGGTCGTGCAACAAATATCAAAGTGCTTGAAAGAAACGTACGAATCTGAAAGAAGTTCTGTTGTCAGAAAACTGATCAAATCGGATATGATATCTACATTATGCGATGTCATGCAAGCAGCGGACAAAGACTTCGTAAAGTACATATAATTGTTTATTTTTTTTATGTTATTATAATATAACAAGAATGCAAAGTATATTTGTTTGTATTTGTCGAATTTCATTTTGCGCACAATGTTTGCTTTTACAATTTTCCAGAGTTGTTCTCGAATGTTTTGATCTTATAAGCGTTTATAAGGAATTTTATGAAAATCACGATTCTATACTTCATGTCACAGAATCAATGATAAGACTCAGTTACTTTAAAAATAAATCATTTAGATTCAAGAGCTCAGTGGAATTTGAAGATCTTGTACTAAGCATTTGCAACATACTTATTAGGTAGTTTGTCATTTGCAATAGAAGCACAGAACGTAACTGTAACACAATAGTATTGTAAAAATATATAAAACTTATCACATTGTGTGTGATGTCGTGTCTAAACATTTGTTATATTGCACTTTTAGATCAGAAAAATATGTCACAAATCTCGATGCTATCTGTGTGCCACAACAGATTATACTCTTTTGCAAAGATCTCGATATACAAAATTTACAGAAGTACAAGCTAAAATTTACCCTCGTCAAAATTGTCAACATCATCACGCAACAGTTATCAGTTGACGATAACAACGTCGACATCGAAATGTGCATTGACGTTTGCCACGATGCATTAAGGTCGATGGCAGAAATTGTCAAATGCAGCGATGACGATGATAAAATTTTGCTTGCTTGTACTTTGTTATGCGGCACTTGCGCCGGCAGTTCTCGGTAATATATATCGATCAAAGTATAAATTTCTCATTAATAATAAATTCCATGACATCTCATTCATTTTATTGTAAAAATTTCCGCTCGACAGGCTTTGTACAATCGATCTCGAACAGGAACATCAGAAGGATATCAATCTCGATATGAAATGTGCCGATCTGTCCACTTGCGTTTACGATACAATAATGAATACAATTATACCTTACGTTAAAGTATTTATTAATAACAATATAATTGGGAAATTAAATCGAGAGCATATTATATAATAAATTTAATACACGTTTTTTGGCAGGACGCGGACTTATCTCGCATAAATTCAAAAATAGAATTTTACAAGAACTTCGTTTTCTGTCTGAACGAGCTGTATCGGCAGGAAAGCTATAATCACGACGACTTGTCGAATCACTTGACTGCCAATGGTTATCTCAAGCACTTCTTGTATTTAACTGTACAGCTTCCGTGAGTTACGTTATTCAGTCGACATTGGATCTTATAATAGTATTATAGATCTACTAGGCTTTGTATTTCACTTATACGAGCGATTGTTGAGAAGTTCTAATTTGTTCGCTCTCAGGCGATTAATAATTTCGAAAAAATCTTATAGATATTAGCAGAATTCGAATTTTGAGACTTTTAGCACAATTTTTAACATTGTTTAACGTGAAAAAAAATTTAAACATAAAGGAAATAATAATTTCACACAAAATATCATATCATTTTTAAACTACGTACCTCAAACACATACAAACACGTGTTATCGCGAAGAAATGTCTTATAGGGAAAATTTACGAAGAAGCGTTTGCTTGTTGCTATCACGGATTCTAAGTGTTCTCGGTAGAACAGCATTTTCTACGGACACGAATACATTTGCAAATATGTTGCATCACAGTCTTCTTCAATTACCGAAAGATTCGATAAAGTGGAACGAAGCTATCGCACGTGATGGGAAAGTTGGAATGGCTCTTATGATTCTGATGTACTATCATTATTGCGGCACCTCAGAGTATGTAACTTGATGCGTACAGTTTTCTCTATATTATTTATTATTATTTATGGTAAATATTTTCTTCTGCGTTATCAAAGGAATTTTGTACCCTTGGAATCGTTAGTCACTAGAATCATGTTGCTATCACAAATTACGCCGTCAATCTTGAATCCGAGTATTTTGAAACCATTGTGGTTCTTATTTGCGGTGAGTAGATTATCTGTTTTACGGACATTTTAAATGTGTACTCATTACATACGCCTTCACAGGTGATGTCTCTGTCTCACCCACATCCTAATTTAGTGCATCATTACGAGGACGCGGTTAATCGATTAATACACATTCTGCAACATTCAGAGCTCAGCAATATTTACACTCATCACATTAATCTCGTACATTACTGTCTCAAATGTTCGAATGTTACACAGGATTTGATGAAAAAAATTTTAAATTTATGGTTGATAGAATCCGATGGCGACATCAAACCGTTACTGTCACTTGATTGCGACAAAGTGGTTAAACATTTATTGGTGAGAATACTTAGTGATTTGCAGTATTAGCGGTTAAAAATTCGAGTTGTAATATGAATGATAAAACCGAGATAAAACCTTTAATTTGCTCGCGAAATAGACCGTGATACAACTCAGTCATCCCGAACGGATCGTCAGCTTAGCTGCAAAGGGACTTCGTCAAGTAATTCAACTCAATAAAGACAATGAATACGTCGGTCGAATTGCAGAAATTGTGTGGCATATGCTACCAAATATTCTTTCATCATACCAAATAGAAACTGGTATCGTCGATATATGAACTTTACGAATTACTTTTTTTTTTTAATTAAACACTACAATTATAAAAGTCACTACTAATTAGACAATATTTATTTATAATATTTATTTATAAGAATGTTTATTTATATATTTTTTAAATATATTTGCACTTGAGAAACTAGTACAGATAATTACTCTTGAGATATCGCGAGATTACTATTTACAGTTGCGGTCGCGCATATAAAGGCAGCTCTGGAATTAGCTAATATCGTTCAACCGCCCACAATGCCAAAATATTTGATAACGCGTATCGCTGATAAAATTGTTTATATAATATTACAACAAAATACCGATTTGAATTTCGTAACTTTGGTTGTGACGCAAGCCCATATTGTGCTAGTTACCGCTATGGCAAATAAATCAAATAAAGGTAAAACAAAATATACAATTTACTCGCAAAAATAAATAATTGTTTCAGTTGAATTTATATTTTTATCGAGCAAACTTGTGTTTAGAATCAATATTATAAATATGATTAAATGTTAATTACAGTACTTCCAAAATACGTACAGAAACGGTTATTGAAAGAATTGTACGTTTATGGATTTTCAAAAGAAAGATCTCAGTTATCCAAGAGCAGTTTAGCACTTCTCGGGTATATTATTCATTGTCAAAAAATCTTATCGATAAAAGTATGTATGATAATGTATTCTCGAGTTTATTCAAATTAAAGCGGACTCTTTACATATTTCAAGATAAAAATTGACTTTTCAGTGCAGATATCCATTAAAAATCGAAATAAAAAACTTGGTCGAACTACTGACACACGCGACAAAATCATTATTCTCTACAACGATCGAAATGCAATTTATATGCGAACTTTTAACACAAAATGTTGACGGCTCTGCCGTTGTTCTTCAAGACATTGCGACCGATGCAAGTGCGGTAGATTGGCTTATTAATTTTTATGAAGTTCTGATGGATAACATTTATATTCAAGTTAGTTACGTTTAAATATAGAAATATAAAAAAACTTTTTATACAGAAAATATTTTATAAACGTTGACTGATATCGCAAAAACTGCAGAATAATTGAAAAAAAACGTATTATTTGTTTTAGAAAGATCCGATGCAAATAGACGAAACATATAAATGTTTGATAGCTTTGTTACATTTCTGTAACACTAAAATAACCACGCTGATATCTCATTTGTGTACCGCAATGAGTAATTACGATTTAATTTTTCACGTTGTAAATTCGTCGAACGTATCGCCTCACTCAGCCGAGTTTGTCACCGTGTGGCTTGATTATCGTAAAAAAAATTGTAATGACGTGCCGTGGAATTTAAGATCGTTGTTCAAAACACCTTTCGATGAATGTCTGGATCATCTTAAACAATATTGTACAATTCTTCAGAACAAAGAACTGAATGATGTTTGCTTGGCTCTGCAACGTGCGGTGAGTGTTTTGGAAAATTAATAAGATAAACACATAACACATTTTATTTGTGATTGTTTAATATTTCTATATTTTATTTTAGCTGTTACAATTTGAGTGATAAATAACAATATTATAGATTATATCACTTTATATCACAGTAGAAGTAGTTTACGTAGTACATCAGGAAGAAGTTAAAAAGATTTTCTATGAGATAGTAAATTTTTTGTTAGATTGATAATTACGATATAATTAATAAGTGATAAGTTTTAGTTAAATCGTAATTTTGACTATCTATAAGAATTCAATAATCGTAATAGTATAAGTTTCATACATATTTTGTATGAAAATAACATTATATAACACGAAACGCGCGTACGTTTTCAAAAAATTTTCTATTTATCGTTTCCTACGTATTAAAAATACATTATTGAAGTAACGTTTGGTATAGATTGAATATATATGTACGATACTGGAAAAAATATTTTAATAAAATTACACATTAAAGCGAGAAAAAAGAGATGACTAAAATTACTATATACTAGTGCATAGCCAACTGTTTACATACAGTTGATTTCTTTATCATATTTGTGCAGCATTATTAACGTTAAATACGAGGCAACGTTGTAGATAAGAATATGGGTACAAAAAGTAGAAAAAGATTATGTTTAAATACAAATCCAAATAGTTCGGTGTACACTTCTCATGCTGCACGATATGTATTGTAAACTAGTTTTGTGCGTAATATATGTTTTTATCTATATAAGTTTGTGCTTTTTCTCTCTTTTTTGCAAAGAGTCCGATTGTGCATATCGCGCTGCACTTATAAGGTTAATTTAATTCTTTCAGAGCGACAGAATCTGAGCAAAAACCTTTTGTGTTCCTTGTCATTCCGAAAGAATTAAACGGTACACCAAATTGTTGATTTTTTTTTTCTAATTAGTGGTTCTTTGCATCTTTCCTCTTCTTTGTTTTTTTTTTTATTTCCGTGGTCGACCATTTCGCTGCATGAAGCAGCCTTTGAAGGAATTCAATCTCACGTCAATTTCACCCTCTTCCAACTGAAACGTGTTTATCGTCCGGTTACCATATCGGCCGCATAAACGAAATAATATATATCGGACATTGCGTACTACATATATATATATATATGTACGTACAGCACATAGTGGCATAGTAAGCCGAACGCAATTAACGGAATTGATATTCCATATATGTACCTGATCGAATAAATAGATCTCCTTGTAGCAGGATGGCGAGACGCATTCTCGGATGCATCGCGTTTTCGCGACACTGTCGCTCCTTTGTTGCGAGAGCATTTTGCATGCGCCGCTCTCCTCGCAAGCTTGCTCGAATTGTCTAAAAAGGAGCTCCTGCAGCAATATACCAATAAATCGTCACACTTACAACATGACAACGTTACTTACGTCGTTTTAATACCATTAAATTGCACAAAACAATTCCAATGCGAGAGAGATACTGCGTAACAAAATATTTTTCAATTTATTTTGTCGTATAAATTCTGCTACAAAAATAAATGATTAATTATTTTCAATAATAAAGCGTCGCGATTGGATTTTATTTATTCGAATTCCGGTAAATATTTGTTAATGTTTATTTTCATACATGAAAAAAATCAATATCTCTCTGTATTACGCAGTACGGTATTAATAAAACCGACGCTCTTGCATTCCGCTCTGTGTGTCGGAATGCAACAATTGATTCGTGTACGTCGAAAGATTAACCCCAATTAAAATCAATGTACTTGCAACACACAGTATATACGCGTCTTTAATTTTCCTCGCGAGTGCAGCTTCGCGTCTCTGTATATAGCGCCTTTCTTCGCATGAATAACAGCGTAATCGCGTACACGAGAGAGTTTCTTGACTCAGAGAGAATACTTGTCGAGTGTAATGCAAGAAGTCGACCGTGCTTCCTCTTATTTTACTTTGCAACACTGAGAAAATATGTCGCAAAAATACACTTCAGGAAGAGGAGAGGGATATATTTTATTTATTTTTTTTTATCGAAAGTATGTCACGAACGCGAATCAGTTTTAACTAAATAAAAGCGTCTTTGATTTTGTCACAAAATTTAATAGACGTGTAACGTCTTCTAAGATCGACAAAGAGTGACTGTACAACGTCTTCTTGCAATCTAAATGCAATTTTCATGGCCTATTTTTTCATCGATCAAGCTGTCGCTGTCAACAAAAGAGAATTCTGCCGTCGCCGCGATTCGTATCTCGCTCAAACTTATGCAATGCCAAAACTTCCGAGAGCAAATATTCGCATATACAATAACTTTTGAGTATATTGTCGTATATACTTTGACCTTTAGTTGAATATTCCGGAATTAATGCCGAATCGATCGTAGTTTCTAAAGCAAACTACTATATCTCGCCTCTACTTTCCTGATCTAAAGCAATAGCTACTACACCTGATCACCTCGTCGGTGTCTTTCTGTTTTCTCAAGAGATTTCTTAAGATTTATATTGCTACACATACGTATTTTTTTCTATTATCTATACACTGCGTTGCTACGAACACATAACAATTTGATTTTATCGACACAAGTTTTCGAGTAAAATTAATTACCTAAAAAAAGAAAAAATAGCAAATTATATATAAAATATACACAAAGAACTGCATGTAAAAACTCAATTTGGAGTAGCGCCTTTTCACTAGTTAGCTGAATGTCGGAGCACTAAGCTGGATTAGCATCAATAGCACCGTATCAGTGTCGTAAAACCGCTATCCTCGAATGAGGGTTGCTCGCCATAACCTATATCAGCGTTCACCAGGTACTCGTCAATGAGGAGGAATTTAACAGATTTATGGACGACTTACATTTTTGGTGGTCTCCTTGTACGGATACTCGGGGAATGTGAAGGTCTTTGCGAGAGATCCTGGCCCTTTCTGAAGGTGGCCGACGACGAGGATCAAGCTGAGCGCGAATGCCACCCCCGACGCCATGTTGAGCGGAACCGCTAACCGATCAATAGACGAGGGTGGCGCTTCTCGTTTGCTTCTCTCGTTGAGTTTTTCGATGGAAAATAAGGAACTTTCAGGCCTAATGAATTATAAGAAGCGATTATTGACTTATACGAAATAATTTAGTAAACGATGCAATTTCTAAATGCATTTAATATACAAACAAATTTTTAAAAAACGCTGATTACTTTATCGCACCTTCAACTTCTTTTTTTATTATTGTTAAAGAGTAAAATATAATTATAAATATTATAAAATATAAATATAAAATATTTTATTATAAAAATTATAAAATATAAATATAATAAAACATTTTAACAAAATAAAAATTAATAATCTTTTTCTATATTTCAGATATAATGATTTACTCATTAGAAAATTTTAAACGTGTTAAACCATTCAATTCAGATGTTCAAGTGTAGCAATGCAGTAGGAGTGTGTAGAATAATTAAAAAGCTTGCGCACAAGATTTCGAGAAAACGCGTAAAAACACCGCGACGTGTAAAACTTCATTTCGCAAAATTTACAATTTTGTAAAATGCTCTCTCTGGAAAACTTTCTTCAAGAAGAACGGCCGGAAAACAAGAACATCTAATGCAACTCGTGCAACCGGAATTCGCGAGGATTAATGGCCGTAATATCTTACTTTTCGAAAGAAGGGAAATAACGCGCAAGTCTTAATCCTCGAGTTATTAATCTCTCCGGGCTTTTTCGCCCGTTTAAAAATTCATTTACTTTGCTTTAATTAAGATTACGAATTCCCTATTCGTGTGAATATAACTTCAGGTATTTTCGCCTTCCGCTAGAATATAAGTCTATTGATAAGATGTTACATCAAAAGAAAAAAACACACACATACAATTTGATATAGCAATGTTTAGCAAACATGTAAGTATGTTTATATTTCAATGAAATATTCTGGAAAGTGTGGTTTCACTTACATAACACACACACACACACGTGTCTATACATTGTAATAGTGAATCTCGAGAGCTTCATACTTTCTGCACTACCGCGATTCGCACAGTGACATCACCGATAACTCCATATAGCACCGCAGCTGCGATATTTGCATAAAACGTATCGAAGCGTATGCACCAAAGCGCAGTTAGCATTTATCGTTTCGGTGTGTATATGTGTGGGGAAACGGCGGACGAGACGACGAACGTTTTTGCCGGGTTAGGCGTTGCGCACCACCAATCCCGAATTCCGTGCGCGGCTTTCGTGCCATTAATTCGAGATTTTGGCGGCGATTAGCAACAGTCCCCGGCCCGCCCGATATGTTCCTCTTGTCCCTCGCGTGATGCAGCATTCTGCCATTTGCACAGACAACTACGTACAACAACGCGAAGAAATATCGCGTTCACGAGTAAATGGCTTATTCTACACACACTCTAACTCTTTCATTAAACCGGTTGACAATTGTCCGAGTTATTGTGTGCGAATTTTTATTTCATCACTTTATTATGAGCTAATTAACCTACTTATAATTACATTACGAAAATTAATAGTTCCGTTATTCAACAATCAATTAAAAGTACACCAGAAATTAGTTCTATCATGTAAAACATGTTATTACGATGGAATATATAATTAAGAAAACAAATAATTATAATTAACAATGTATGATTTGATATAAAAAGATTATTTAAATTAAACACAGTTTACACCCGCAGATTTAATGAACCGTTGTTACATGAAATAAATAAAATTTTATTATATTTTATTATGTTTTTATAAACATTATTTGTGAAAATTGTACATTAAAGAATACACAAATTTTCACGGAAAATGAATAAAACATTTTAATTACACAAATATGCGATTATAATAAAACGCATCTTTACATCTTTTCATAAATTACTTGAATAAATTTTACGTCATTAATTAATTGCATGTAATACAGCGTTTTAAAAATTCAGGATGCTATTAATAATAATAGCATCAAAAGCCACTTTTGTTTATTCCCTAATTTAGTTTGCTCAAAGTGGATATTTTTTCGTTTACTTCTGATATAATTACTGTATATTGATTGAGCCGGAAGATTATAATTACGTTGGTGTTGAGCTTGAGATAACTTGCTTTTTGTGTCGTTGTAATTACCTTCTCTCACTCGCGATTGAAATTCATAATTAAACCCCGGTTAGGTATACATCTAACATGAAATTTGTTGCCCCACTGCTGCGCGTGTCGAAGATTAATTGAAGTTTCTGATTATAAATTAATCACGTTCACTGTTTACAGTTTAAAAAGAAAGTGTTTAAAAAGAAGAAATATAATATGCATCTACAGCTTACTTTAAATGCTATAAATTAGTTTTGGTCTTACATAAGTGTATGAGATCTTAACAATTGATAATATCTACGTTAGATTATGTTACACATGCATTATCGCTCTTTACGTGCTTTGTGCGATGCATTATAAATTCTTTATTATTTTTTTTCTTTTTTGTTTCTTTGAGTCGAATAAGCACTTTAAATATTATATAATAATATAAATATATAATGCAAGTTTCTGTTTAAACGAAATAATGAATTTCTTCTCGACGCGAATGAATTATTGTCTTGTCGCGGTACAAACGTAATTAACGTCCTTGCATACCTATATAGTCTTCGAAGAGAGCGAACGATAAGCTAGAACGGTTCTCTCCCGGGTGACGTATTTCATAGTTAGAATGTCACGATAAGAAACAATGAAATACGGCGGATGATCACAAAATGCGAGGATCCTTTGTCGTGCATTTCCCGTACTTGTATACGATTGCAATACGCCCGCAATAATATTCCCAAGATAGAGAGATAAATGCGGAGTAATTAGTATCTTAGGTCAAGAGAGATATGCCACTAATTGCGTTAAGGTCCTTACGTTAAGATATTAGGTACTTCTCGAACTACCGCGACTGATACGACGAACCACTTCTGTTTTAAGCGCGGTAGAAACTCATACTCTCCCTCTCTCTCTCTCTCTACATATATACGTATATAATATTCAGTAAGAGATACTATGTATATATACACATTATTGGTAAATTGATTTTCAGCTATTTGATATTCCGCACGATGTTATTATAACTCTAACGATTTTAAAAGCGACAACAGAATTCAGAAGTAGCCGTGGTAATTTAATGGCAGGATATAGTGGTAGAAGTTGATTTAATTGCACTGTAATTGAGTACCAGATGGCACTGCGGTTAATCTAATTACAACGATTAAGAGACTTGTTCGAGCCAACCCAATGTATTTGCATTCGTGTTACTTAGATCGTTTTATATATCTCATTTACGAGTAAAACACAGTTCCGTTAACAAAGAGGGGTTTTGTTAAGTTAAATTACTTTAATTGAATTTTAATTCTCGTAAACACGCTCAACATATGATATGTTATAACTACCTACCGCTTGGTGGCTAACAAAGTACATATAATACATTATTGTAAACCAACTTTGGATCGGGAATTCCGAATTTAAATTAGCATTACCCACACAATGGTATATTCTACACAATGTACATAATTTTAATTTGCGTTGCTTTAGAAATACACGTAATTGCATTTATATTCGCGTACCAACAATAATTGTTAATTTATGAACTCAATTTACGAAGACTCTCGGTCGTAATATCGTTGCGGGTTGCGCGGACTATCATAATAAAGGAAATGACAGTCGTGGAAAGGGGGGTAGTTGCATTCCTCCGTTAACGGAATTGCGTACTGCGGAATTTTGTATCGGATCACCTCCCTCGGAAGGCAGATAGCTGTTTGCTATTGCAAACTGGGACAGCGCAATACACGGTCGCGTCGTGAGTCCCTGATTTATCGGTGCACCCCCAACAAACCTCCGACCGCACGGTGGCGATCCCCTTGGCGTCGGAATATAGCGCAAACTCTCGTGATTCCCGGCGAGCGAGGAGGGTGGCGGCAGATTTCCTCACGTTCGTCCACTATTGACCATGCAAATAAGGATCGACAATAATAGGGTATCGTTGACACGCGGGCACGGCAGATCTGCATCGTTCGTCTGGTCACGAGTATACGCGAACGCAAGTCCGCATATACGCGGTCGAATCAATTGTCAATGTGAATTCTCCGTGCTGCATATTATGCACGTCTCGGATCTACGGAAACCCGCTCATACAAGCGCGAGTTAAATAAGAGGAGTGACGTATCGAGAGAGCGATTGAACCTGATTAAATCGCGCGAATCTCGTTGGAAAATTATCGAGAAGAGAACTTTTCGCAGTTCCGCAACGAAACGCTTATTGTTTCATCAAATGTTTAATTAATATGATCGTCACCCGCAAAATTCTCCTTTTGAATCTCTTCTTTTTAAGTTTCTAATTTACTAATTACAAAAAAATTTGTATTTGTAATTCTTATAAAAGATATTTACTTAAATATCATCTGGGTGCATTTGCCAAGAAAATCAATGGTGGTAATGTGGTGCACATGTGCACAAAACGGATCAGTTGCAATGCGAAGTTTTATTGTAATTAGTAACTGCGCGTAATCAGTAGAGTTTGCAATGCTGTGTAAGAATTAATTATACAGTCTCGATATACGGTTTAACGATGCTTAATCGTCAGTAGAAGCACGTACACATGTTAACTTCACAAACCGCATTCTAATTCTCATTGTCACGCATAGGAATCAGTAGGTCGTTTGTTAATTCAGTTTTTCATTAAATGCGTCATTTATTCGCGTGTTATCGTACGGCATATTTCGACGATTTACAACAATTTGCACAAATCGATATGCTATTTGGACGAACAGCATGACTTAACGAACAAAAATTTTATGCAATTAATTATAAATTTTTTTAAATTTATTGTCACATAATTTATTACAATTTGGAATTAAAAGTTATTGTGACAAAGAGACCGATGCGGAAACGAGATACGATTCCGGTTGAATTTGCATGGAAGGAATAATGTATGCCGTATTACGGCGTTATTTGTCAAGGGTTTGGCAAGATGCCAAACCCGTGTGCGTC